AATAAAGTTCGAATTACACGGCGAGAGTACGCCGCGCGCGCACGCATTTTATGCCGAAAGTCGCGGCGACTTATCCCTGAGGCGTTTCTTCCGACAATATTAAAAGGAGCAGTCCCTTCACGTGAAAGAACGACGACGACGACGACGACGACGACGACGGTGCGCTGGTACCTGAAGGAACCGGGCAGCAAAGAAAGACGTAGGGGAGAGAGCGGACGCCCGATTGTCCCGAGCAGGAAAACGGCCGAAAGTTCTGCATGTTCGGCTCGCAGCAGTTTAAGTTTCCGCGGGGGCCCTCGAAGTTATAACGAGAATTGCTCTCTCGCCGTAAAGTTTTCCGCCTCCGAGTTCCGCGCGCGTACATACCTTTCCCCATTTTTCTCACTCTCTCTCTCTTTCTCTTCTCTTTCCCTCTTTCCCTTTTTCTCTTGCCACTGCGCTTCTCTCTGTGTCACCCGTCTCTTTCTCTCATCTCTATTTATGCGCATGCTACACCATAGAATTGTTCGCGTGCATACTCCCCCCCCGTTGCGCCGTGTTCTCCCCGTGTAAACCGTGTACACCGCAGACATTTTTTCCCAATGCGAAATCCACCGCGAACTCTCTCTCCCCCTCTCTTTTTCTCTCTTGCTTTTGCTCTTCCGCTTGTCCCCGTTGCCTTTCCTCGCGCCGGATATTCGTACAGCGGGAATAAAACGCTGGCATATTTCAGACTTATTGCCCCCTGCCGCGCTCGCCGAGTATTCCCGGTTCCTTTATTGCGCCTAGTTTCATTCTTTTCCGGTTTTACGGTATTACCGCAACGGTATTACATGCATTTCAGCGTTCTTATCCCCGCGTTCTAGCGTGCATAACATCGGGCGATTCCGCGTTCCCGCCGTTTCGCGAGTCCTCGAGGTGCTCGTCTGTCGAGTGTGGCATTTTTAATTTATCTATGTTACAAACAAATCCCACCCGAATAAAAAAATACCAATAATTTTAAATGTACAAGAATAAGTAAAAAAATGTTTAGAAAGACTTTATATTTTATCAAAAAACACTAATGATTGTAAAGCAAAATAACTTATTTTTAAAAAATGTTTTAAACATATTTTTAAAGAATTTAAAAAACGTAAAAAAAAAAAAACAATTTAATGCAATATGTTGAATTATTGTCAAATAAAATATATATCACAACAAATAATGTACAATAAAGTGTATATAGATTAATAATTGGAAACGAAAACTAATATATAATAATTATATCCCGTAAAAATTCTGAATAGTGTTATCCTTAATAATAAAATATTTAAATAACAAAAATATTTATGCACACACTATTCCATAAATGTTAGTGATATTATTCGATATCCTCTCCCAAGATATAGATAATAATCTCTCCAATATCCTACAGAATAGTTAATGGTTTGCTTCCCTATTACGATTATCACCAGCAACCGGCTCGGATTAATTTCAATGTGTCTGATTATTGATACTGTCGCAGTACTGTGGAAACCCTATTACACTGTCAGACTGTCGCGTTTAAGTACCGAGCGGTACTTTGACCAAGGTTCCCAATAATCGATACTGAATGGTTGGAATGGTTTCGGCCCTTTGATCCGCATTGATCTACGAGGATATTGTCACTATTTGTCAAATCTTGCATTATCCAACAGTCAAGAACGGAACTCGCAATCCGCTTGGAAAGATGATTAGCGCAATCTAAGATGCAATTGCACGAAACACAAGCTTATTGTTAGAGTACACAATTTACGATAGATTATGTCCTAGTATTTTTCGCAAATATTCGGATAAAATATCAATTTTCAATAGAAATACATTCTAAAATTTATAGCACAGTAAGTTTCTTTGGGTTAAATAACAATGATCAATTTTTCGCGATCCTTTATCGACAAAATTTCACCCAAAGTTTTCTGATTTTCGCAACAATGCGAGTTAAGCCACTCCAACTTCAAAACCCTGCCATTGTCTTTATTGTCTAGAAGCGATTCGCCGTAACGTCCCGCGGCGAGGATAGGTGCTGCGAGAAGAAGGGAGAGCCGAGGCGCGGAACGGGCGTGCCCGAGAATGGGCTCGGATAGCGGCAGCGTTTCAAGTAGCATTTCCTTGGCACAAACGACCCTCTTAATCAATCGCTAGCACCTCTCTTCTTCTCTTGGCCGCCTCCCTCGAGCTTGAGCTCCGCGCGCCGTTCTTCTCCCTCTCCCACCATTGCTACCGCTGCCGGAAGTCTAAAGCCCTCGTAACAAGCCGCAACTTCGATAAATCTCCCCGCGCCGTCTTTCTTTCCCCGAGAGCCGCGATTCCGCGGCATTAGCAAGAACGAAAGAAGAAAGGCGAGGCGAAGGATATATCTCGAATCGATTCTGGCGAAGGCGCTCGAAAGAGAGACGCGATACGAGCGGGGTCGACGGCGGGCTATATTTCGGTGGGAGGGAACGGGGGTGAAAAACTTATGAAAATCCGGGATTTATGGCAACGTGTGGGCGAGAGCCGGTCCGGGCCGCGTCGTCGTGGTTCGGTTCTGACAAATCGTCCGGAAGTTAACGTTCTCGATCGTCCTCCGAATCGCCTTTCCGTAAAAGCAGAGATTCCTCTCCGCCCCGATTTGAAGAGGAAAAAAAAAAGAAACTTTCGACCCTCCCGCGATACTCGTCGTGCTTCGAAAGTTTGTATGCGTTTTGCTTCGACAGCAGAAGCTTTCAGCGAGGTCAAAGTTGTTTCCTTTTTGAAAGCCAAAGAATCAATAAACGCTGCGCGTTTCACATCTTTTTTAACTGATTTTAGTTATTATAAAAAGAGTGAAAACTGACAGAGCAAAATTGAAAAGTATAAATTCGAAGTGATCCAATAAATATGATCTAAATGGGAGTTTCATAATATCGAATTTCGCAGTGAGATTTTCTGCGTTACACATATTCCATTCGATAATATGATAAAGTCAAATTTCTTTTCTGACAAGTACGGGAAATTGCCATTTTACATCCAATTTTAAGTTCAGATGACTGATGGAAAATTTTGGAATAATGTAAAATTTCAAGTCATAGAAAATGTCTCATCGCGCTCGTGTGTTTTCGCGAGAAGTGATACTCCGTGATAAACTTTTCTCTGAAATTTGCCAAAAAATTTGAGTTGAAGAGGAAAAGCAGTTTGATCTGAGACGCTCTATATATAAAGAAAGATGTGCCAAACTTATGTACAAAGTGTTCACCGGTTTGCATCTCTTCAAATTCGAAATATAATCCCTGATTAATATTATTGAAACAGATCTCGGCGCTGCGTCTCTTGGACTTTTCGGTATGAAAAGCCGCGTGCTTCTCGCGGAATTTTTGAGACGAAGTTTTCCGTATCGGCGACCGCTCGTAAAGAGATTCGACGGACTAGAATTACTTCTCGAAAGCAAGGAGCATGAATGCTTCAGCTGAATGGAAAATGGCAACTATAAGGAAAATCTAAAAGTTTTCGAGCTTTGGAAAACCGGATTGGAGAAGGTTGTGAGTTTAAGCGCCGATATAAGTGATTCGGCTCCTTGCTTTCGATGCTCCGGGAAAACGACCCGATCCGAATAGTCACCTGTACCATTTAGAAGGAAGCAATAACCGTTTGATTCCGTGAGTTTCGGATCCCCAATTCCTGGATCCTTTGTTCGCAAGAATGAATAAGATCCAAAAGCTCGTTGTACGTTATAATGAAAATACACGCGATATTCGAGATTTAACACGCTTTCTTTCATCTACACATTGTAATCTACCCATCTTTATGTATTTGCCTTTACGTAATTTATTAGAAAAATTGGAAACCAATTTAGAATTGCAATTTTAATTAATATATTTCAGTAATAATTAATTTTCAATTAAAATATTTTGATAATAATCAATCAGTTCTTGCTTTTCGCTGCCTCGATTATAAGCTTTCATAATTTTGGCTAACTAAATCTATTTTAACCCACATATAAAAACTTCTAGTTACGCATTTTTCAATGCTTTCAGTAGCAAAAAAGATATAATAGCATGACATAAAAACATAATCAGTAACGATAGAATTAAAATTGTGGAAACTAAAGAACAAAGCAATTTTTAATTCATAAGCAGATGTCATAAAATATTGAAAATTCAAGTTTTATTAATATTATTAATTATAATTCGAAATTAATAATTTTAGATAATCAAATTCAATTACGTTAATTGGCTTTGTGGATTTCGGACCGGCGAGAACGATTCGGCAACGTTAGTGGATCGTTTTGTCTCGGGAAAAGTCTCGCTTTATGTGATCACATAAAGCGAGGATTACTCTAATCCGTCGAAATAATTCTGCATTAGAGCACACACGGAGTCGGATACCGCGGCTAATCTACTCAGACCAGGAGCAAGTGCTCTTCGAAAACGCGGGAATTAAACGCGATCCCAAAAATACGAGAGGAGAGCGGCCTTCGTTATAATAAATCCCGGCGTAACCGGTAGAAATTTATGCGTCGTATAAGCCAATTATTTATTAGCACGGCCACGATTCGAAAACAGCCAGAGTATAAACCTTTTTAGCTCTCTCAACAAATCACGATAGAAGAGAACAAATAAATAATCAAAATTACTGTTTAATTTTGACACAAAGAAGCTTGAAAATAAATTTCAGTAAATAACGAAGCGATCATTAGTATACATTATAAAAACTTATACACGATGTGCGCTACGGCTTAAACAAAACATTGTAATATTGATGCTTTTATAATATTAAATGCAAATTATTGCTCGCTTTAATAGTTTGTAAAACTTTGGCTTCTTATACTGGCATTGACTTTTAATTTTGACAAAATCTTAATTTGTCTGGGCATAACTTTATCTACTTCCGACTCGTAGACTGCTGTTTTCTTAGAATTACTTAAAATCGATCGCGACGGCTTTCATGTCTAACCATCTTCTACGATATCATAACAAGCGCACTTCTGCGCACGTTTCATGTTTGATCAGCAAGCAAACGTGAAGAAGAGGGCAAAGAGGACTCACCTGTGCCAGCCGCCCCTAGCCTCAGGACTGCATCGCTTTGAAGAGAGATGGAGAGAGTGGCGGTGTCCTCGAGGCGGGCGAGGACCTCTTCGGGAATGTCCTCGGGTTCGCGGAGGCGGAGGGTGACCTCACCCCCGCCTCCGCCACCCTGGCCACCTCCACCCCCGGGACTCGTCGACGCCGAGTACATGAACACAGATCCGTATCCATGTAATGACTGCAGAGGCAGCCTCACGCCGCCCACCTCCCCGACCGGACCCTGAAAACCGAAAGATGAATCATCGTTGTAGCAGCGGTCCGATGAAAAGAACGAATCTGATTGTAATTATTGGATTTTCACCGAGTCAGTCCATAAATTCATAGGTATTCTCGAGAAATTTTAAAAAGGCGCGTAAAAGTCAAATTTATTTTTAACATTGTACATGTTATTTAATTATCCGTCATTTTTTCCGAGATAATCCTTTTAATCTATTTATGTCAGAAATTGATGAATTCGCGAACTGATAAAATACAATGAGTGCTGCAATAACAACATCCAAACATACATTTATAATACGAAAAGTATCTTCGTGAAGAAAAAGAATTTCGCATGCTGCATAGTTTTATTCGAGAATCAATAACAGAATTATCTCGATATTTCAAATTTTATGAAAATCTAACAATGCGTTTCGCGCGCAGAATGTATTCATAGAAATAATAAAAAGAGACGATAGTTTTGTTTCACGTCAAATAAAACCGTAAAAACACTCGGCGTGCGTGTACGTCCTGCGGAGAAACGGCGAGAAGCCGCATAATATTTGCCGTGGAATTCGATTGGCGAGACGAGTGGCCGGAAGGCGCGTCCGAATCGATCGCAGTACGCGTCATATTAAATTTAAGGCTACAGTTTTCCCTTCGTCCACCCGAATCCCGCGGGAAGACCCACATTCCCTTTTCGCTCTTTTACCTTTCCTCTTGACTACCGTCCTGCTTCTGCATGGTCGCCGGCGCAGCCAAACGTTCTCTTTTACGAGCGGAAATATTTTGCCAATTTCGCTGTCGATGCAAATTTCAATTCGCGAACATCAATATTTGCGGAATCGCGCCGAAAAAGGATTTTGATGTACCCGGCATTTTATCCGCCGTTGAACGAGCGCTTGACTTCCGCATGCGAGAAAGGTTCCACAGGCCGTGAAGACAAATACAAAAAATCTCCCAACAAGGTCGAACAAAACAGATCTTTCCTTTTTCTCGACACACGTTAAAAAAATATATACGCGCGCGCATACACATAGATCTGTCCGAGCATCAGCTCGACTCCGTTTGAAATATCATTTTAATGGAACGGAGAGATTCAATTACCGCCGCGCGTATTTCTGATACACGCGCGCCGTCAGATGTAATAAGGAATATCGAAGAAACGCGGTGATAATGATAGTCGATATTATCCGGGAAAAGTGTGACATCGATATACGATGAAAATTTTCCAGTGTTTCGTATCGCGTCATCGATCGATAAGTTAATATCACTATAGTGAAATGGGATTATAGTGTTCGGTATAAATAAATTATTCTGCTTTTCCCCAAACCCGATAGCCGCCTTGGGCAAAGTTCATCGATTGCACCGTGTGAGAGGCAACAGAGAAATAGAGAGATACGCTTTATTAAAACATAATGTCTCGCGGAGAACTTTTTACGGAAAATATATGAGAAAATACTTGTTTAAACAAAACAGAAAGTACCTATTATTTTACGAGTTGAAAAAATATGATTCGCGATCTGACGTAAGTAAACTAGCGCAGACGTTATTTGTATGCAACGTCGTCATTAATAACAAAAAACTGTTTTTCGGAAATGCACGTGTGTGTGTGCAACGTCAAAACTAAATATAGATATATTTGCACCGGACATAAATTTGAAATAACAGATGTTGTTGTTGGTTTCCGTAAACAGCAAAGTCGACCGATCCGTACAAGCCGGCGAGAATTAAAAATATCAGTGTAATACTGATACAAACAAGGTTTACTGGAAATGTTTGTAGAACTCGGGCACGTATAAATGCCATCTATATAAAAGGCAACGCGTAGCGCTAGTACAAACACTGGTTTTAATTCCGACGCGAATCTATACAGATGCGAAATGTACAAACAGAGAGCGCTCCGTTTACCGATTAAAATATTATGCACTGTGATAATTAAAAAAAATCTACAGGGAAAAATACGTTTGTAATAACATTGTACAAGAAAAATTTAGATATTTTTTTTATCAAAAATAATAAAAATTATTATTTTTATGCGCAAATTCTTATTAACCTTTCGATTCGTTGTCCGTACGTTTTCGAGACATTTCAGTTCTATATACTTTATATTATAAATATGAGTTTTCCAATTCCTCTGTAATAGTTCCAAAGCATCCCAACGCGTTTAAGCTAGAAAATTTCAAGTTCGCACGCACACCTCTAATACGTCCGATTTAATGGCCAGCGCCGTATATCTGGTGGCGCGAATTTTCCCATTGTTAGCGGTCGAAGCGACGAGTCGCGTGCTATCTCTCTCTCTCTCTCTCTCTCTCTTTTCTCTTCCCTTCTCTCTCCCTCTCTCTCCATTATTTACGTAAATTGATTCGTACCACTGACTATTTCCGCGTCACGTATTCGCGGCTATCGAACCAGCCGGTCAGCCGGCGTTATAGGTGGTCGGCAGGCAAGCCATCGCCTATAGCGCCCCGCGATGAGAGTAATTTATTTTAATGGTCATTTTCGTAATGGTCTTTGAACAGGCCGGCATGAACATCTCTGAATAGGCCACGCAAAGCGTAACACGGTAATGCCCTCTCGACCCCGCTGATCCCTCCTCTCTACACACGTGGTCGATGCAAGGCCGCGGAAGAGAATGCTCGGTAACTGTGGCATTCGCGAAAATAGCACCCGCTACCGGAAACAATGCCCGCCGTCGCTGCGCGCTTCTCTATTTTCTATTTTGCCACCGCAAAAACTTTTCCGTCTCGCTTCCTCCCTTTTTCTTGTTTTTGCGAGCGGTATTGTAGTGCCGCGTGCAACGGGGAAACCGGCACAATCGGCAAAGCTATGACAGGACTATTTATGATGCTCGGGAATCATTTTCATAAAACTGCAATTAATCGAGTTTGCCCTGAAAATCGTGATTTATATCGCGCGCTTGGAAAACATTTTTATTTATAATTATTATGCAAAAAACGATGTTCACTATAAAAAAATATCTTCCTCGAAATCACTCTTGTCGCAAATATATACTGAATAAACGGCGAAAGAGGGTCATCGAGGGACGGCTGAAAGTTAAATCGATTTCAAGTTCACCGGAAGAACGTGAGGACTTTCCGGATTCGACTTTCGTCGTGGCAGCAAGAGAGGCAAGCGAGCTTCAAAGTCGGAATCCGGCGTTCTCGCTCGGCAAGGCGGAAGATTACGGTAATGGATACGGCGAGGAGATCTCTGAAAGCTGTACGGAGCAGCACGTATCGCGCGCACAACACACATATCGCTGTATCGACGTCATATTCTCGATACACCCCGTTACACGCGCTCGGTCAAGGACGAAAGTCCCCCGCGGCTACTCGGATAAATATCATGCTTGCGGGACAGTTTGGAAAAAGAGCTGATAAACATGAAACGAGTTAGCTTGTACGAACGATGTGTATAAGTTTTTACAAAAGTACTTTAAAAGTATCCTTTTTATTATTCCTTGTTGATCCGTCGCTCATATTCCGCCGCGCTCTTTCACGGTTTGCGCATTCGCTCTCCATTTCGAAAAATCTCTGTAAATTGATACACCGTGGTTTTACATTGACATAAAAAAAAATAGAAAAAAAAAACAGAAAACCGTGTCAAAATGTGTTCTTCCTTGCGCATAATAATTTACTGATTTATAATTACTAAAACTAAGTTGTATAAAGTCAAAGTAATTTATTAAAAGTTATAGAAGTTACTATAAATGATATAAAAATATTTCCGTGAAATATATCTAGCGACAGCTGTGAAATTTTCGCTGGCGATGTAAACCTGACGGACAAAAAAAAAGAGAAAATATCGCCATAGCTGATTATAGCAAGTATTAGTTTATAGCTTAAAAATGACTTTTCCCAGACATTTTAACAGGTATCATTTTTTGCGGAATGTCGACGTTTCGAATCGCTTCTGCATGATGAAGAGCCGACCGCGCCGGGATTTAGAAAGAAGTGATAACAAACGGAAAGTACAACCCTCGGAAGCCTGATAGATTTTATTCCAGCGCGTATGCAAATTGACAAATTGAATTTCACTTCGCGCCGTTCCCAAATAAAAGAGAGAGCGATACGAGCCCGATATATGGCCGGCAAAAAAGCGAATAAAAAGCGGATACGGCTGCGATTTCGTGCCGGTGTGCGGCGATCTCGATTTCGGAACATTAATCAGCATCCTTCAATGCGGAATTTCCAATAAACAGCGCTCAAGTATCGAGTGATTATTTACGACCGCGTATATGTGACAATTGTTTCAATTTCGCTCTTTCAGCTTCGAGAGGACACAGTCTTCCTTTCCCAAATATATGTACCAAATTCTTCTCGAAAGGGAATTAAACAGACAGCTCTGGCAAACATTCCAGACATGAAAAATTTCGCCAGACATAACAAATATAAACGCAATATATTTTTATATTCCTATTAAAATGATATCGTATAGATTTGGCAAACGCTCAAGGCGCGTCGCGCACTCCATCGAGAAGGATCGTGGCGTTCAAAATTCAAGATATAAACCGCAGCCGCGGGGAATTTCGGAATGTGTCCGTCGATGCGAAGAATGGATAGGAAGTCGAGATATCGCGCCGGCATTACGTGCGACGTACACACGATCTTACAACGTGGGGCGATTGCCGCACGGCCGCCTATGTACAGCGAACTGCCAAGTCCCTTCTCGCGCGACAAACAACCGGAAATGTGGCCATAACAATGCGGATATGCGCCGGTGCAGCCGCATGCGCTCGCGAGCTTTCGCGTATCGCCTGCATAATACGTATATATGTATACACATACATATACACACACACACACGAACGAGACGCAGTTTCCTCGACTATAACGCAAAATGCGAGCCGTGCTCGCAAATGCGCGGTCCTTTTCTCCTCCCCTGCTGCGTCCATCATCTCGCTCTGAAAATCGAAGCGACCCGTAGAGCGCACCGCGGCCCGTACGAACTTTACTAAATGGAGAGTGCACCAAAAGGATTATCTGCCGCGCGCGCGTTTCGGATGTCGGGGAGGGTGGCATC